ATCTGGCCCTAGCATGTCTCGCAATGAGGTAAATACAACTCCTTGTGAACAACAACACATCACATACGACTCTGTGCCACTATTAACTTAACAAAAACTGAAAATGCAGAAGCAGTGTGTGAAAACTCAGTAAACTCTTACTACTTCCATAGACATTAAGAGAGTTAGTAGCAGTCACTTGCTGCTAATCAAATGCACTTCTCTAACTGATCATCAGCAACTGTGAGCACCTCTATGAAAGCCGGTCTGGAGTATTCGGAGCATCTGAACAAACTGCACTTCTGGAAAAAAGTCCTTTGAACAGATGAGATCAAAGTGGAGACGCTTGACCATAATGCACAGCACCATATTTGGAGACAGTAGCAGACACACTTCATACTGATAGGTAGTAGTGTGATGATTTGAGCTTGTCTTTGAGTCATAGGGCCTGGAAGCTTGAAGTTGAGTCGATCACAAACGCGTCTCTACACCAATGTACTCCGGAGTTTAATGGCCAAGTGCTAAAGCTTGGCTGAAATTGGATCATGCAATTGGACGATAATCCCATGCTCAGCAGCAAATCTGCAGCAGAATGGCTAAAAAAGAAAATAATGGTCCAGGCAAAGTCTAAACCAGAGGTGGGCAACTCCAGGCCCTGAGGGCCAGTGTCCTGCAGGTTTTAGATGTGTCCTTGAACCAACACAGCTGAATTAAATTGCTAAATGACCTCCTCAACATGTCCTGAAGTTCTCCAGAGGCCTGGTAATGAACTAATCATGTGATTCAGGTGTTTTGACCCAGGGAGATATAAACCAGCAGGACACCAGCCCTTGTGGTCTGGAGTTGCCCACCCCTGGCCTAAACGCTAGTCCCTAAATGCTAAAATGCTGTGACAGGATCTTGAGGGAGCTGTGCATAAATATGTCTACAAACCTAAATGAATTGATGCAAAAATGAAATATGTCATGTGCTGTTGTCCATCACAGGGCGTATTTGCCTCATTTTAAGATCTGGGCAGTGCTGATGTCCTGATGTGCAAATCCTTAAATTTGACAGATGGTGCGCTTTCATTTTATCATGACTGAATATTACAGGTCCCTGTTGACTTGTAATAATAATAAATTCCATCTGTTTTGTCTTTAAGAGCTTTTGAAAAGTTAGAAAGTCTACAGTTTCTAGCTGCAATCCCCTGAAAATCAAACCAAGTATGGAAAGATTTAGAATGAGCCCTGCTAAATAAAACTCAACATAAGATCAGAGGATGAAAATCTATGACAGAAAATGCTAAAATATAGCTGTTTGATGTCTATATATATTTAAAGAGAACCTTATTAGTGAGGTGCATAGGATAAACTTGTAGATAATGGCCCTACGTGCTGTTGTTCACTATAAAGATGTGGCCTATGGAAATTTGCATTATTCATACTGTAGTGCTTGAACTGATGAATCTAGGGCCACCACTCTGGCCAGCTGAGGCTGGTAGTGATGAATAATGCACAGTTCTGGTAAACACTTTCCAATAGTGGCTCCTGGAGGTAAGAGGGGAACAGGAGCAGATGTGGAAGGTAAAGTCCAAAGTGGTCCCAGTGGTAATAGTAGCATTAGGACTGGAAGAGTGGCTCCAGCAGATTCCAGGCACGACATCAGAGGTCTCTGTCCAGAGGGGTGCAGTCCTAGGAACAGTTAAGATGCTGTGCTGAACCTTCAAAATCACAGGCCTCTGATAGAGGAGCTCAGCTTTAAGAGCACACACATATACCACCTCCTGGGGGGTGGGAGGGAGATTCATAATTTATGTTTCTATATATGTTTAAAATCACTACTTATTAAACTCAAAAAGAGCCTTGAACCAGATCTTGCATGTCATTCTTGAGCCACTTTGTCACATGTCAATTTTGTTATTGTGACGAGAAAACTGCTAATTAAGCTGCATTAAACTGACAGAAACAGACAAACAGATTTATTTCGAATTGACATCTGTGAGAAATTCAGTTGTCAGCCTCGGGAACAAAGCCACAACCGATGCTGATGTATGAGCGCTGCTTCAGCTTTTACTTTGCTGTCGTGTATACAGCACAAATGCATTTCTAAAGTTAGCCTTCAGTGTCCTAACAACATCTAATAACATCAAATGTTTGCTAGGAAGGCGAGAGCCAAGGGAAATGGACAGGAGGAAAGTGGGAGGGGGACTATAAAGAAAAGAAGCATGGGAGAATAAAGACGAGCTGAGGCACTGTACAGTATCTCTTCCTGAGGACAAAAGACGAGGAAACAAAAGAGAATTAAAAAGACACACCAAAGGAAGGCAAAGAGAGGAGCGCTGTTACAGAAGTCATCTTTTATTGCCACGTAAGAAAGTCGTATATAGAACAATGGTGATATACTGTACTGTCAGATGGCAAATCAACAACAAAAGAAGAACAAAAATATCCCTATCAACCCCTCCCCCCTGCGAAAAAAAAAAAGAAGGAAAAATAGACAGTCATAGCAACACTATGGTAATATATTTCTGGGACAATACATCTGCTATATTTCTCTTTTTTTTTTCTTAACAATATCTGAATAGTACCAAAATACAGCTTTTTCATAACTTAATTCCACAAATTATAAAGTCAGTAAACAGTAAAAGGACAATGGGGCATCACGGTGCATATTATAAGCTACTCTGCAAACAATAGTGGGAGATGGGGGCTCTACCATTAAAAATATGCTTTACGTTACGCATAAATGCAGTGTTGGGGCCCTACTTATCCATAAACACATATGCATAAGTACAACAAATTGGTCTGGACATCAAAAATAGAAAACCGGACCTCCTATAGGTAACTTTGTATGTACTGCTTGATTAACACTAAAATGAGTTAATCAGTGACTTATTCTATAAAAGGATATACTAATGGATCATAGTTTTACTGCAAATAACTTGTTGAATCTTCAAAACTGATGGAAAACCCTTTAACTTTGGGCCCTAGCAGAAGTCACTATGCAGATTACATTTAAATGCACTGTCACTGAAGTATTTCTTTGAATCCTAATAGCAATTAGATTATATTTAAAATTACCTTCTGATAAAAACCCTACATATGAAATCCACCATAGTCGCAAGCCATAGAAAAAACGGTCTGCTGTGCTCATTTCAGGCTCCATGTATTTATTCTTGGACTTCACTAGAGTAGCATGATTCACAGCTCAAATAATCAATACATATCTGATTTTCAGCTAATACATGAGCCCCCAGTTTATCTACTGTTTGAAACAAGCCTTTTTAGCGCCTGTCTCTTTAAGGCTAGCCTCCCTTATAAGCTAACTTTCTTCTGATTGGCTGTCCCTCCCAAATAAAAGAACAACAGCAGGTGGGAGGGGCTTCTCTGCCCTCAGTAAGCCCTAGATATTTGATTTTCTTGACGTCATACAAAACAAAAGAAAAAGCTGGCTTACAGGGATTACTTTCACATATGCTGTCCTCATTAATTGATACGTGGCCCCGGTTTAATATGAGAATTGTATATACATGACATAAAATAAGGAATAGCGTAATTGGTCCACTTTAAAACAAATGTTGAGCGTTACTGGACAACAAACACCGCATCTCCTCTGCTTCTGTGCATAAGTAGATAGCTCCAGGTGGAGAAAACACTGCACATAAGGATTGATGCTATACAAAGTTGTAAACATAGTTGACGAGAACCGTCTTTGATAACACGGTAATCTCGGGATGTATGGTCACAAAGATGCTGCTTTTCCATTAGCTGTCATGTTTACAACACTACTAAGCCCAGCAAATAACAACAGTAAAGAGCAGAGAAATTAAAGAGTGGAGAAAAACGTATCTTGTGTTTAAGCCCTTTTTATGTCATTCTGATGAACTGTACATATCCCATTTTGCAGTCTTGATGACCCTGCTCTGTCTTTTCTTCGGCAAAACAAGCACGTCGCGTTTTTATCTGTTCTAATTAAAGGGTGGGGTTGGGGCGGTCTTTCTTTACTACTTTGCCACTAAGAAATTAATATATACAGACAGCTGCGTTTTCCTGATTTAGACTGACATCAAGAACAATCCATGCTTCACATCTTCAGCTTAAATAGGACACAGTGTAAAAATAAAGCCCAAAGGAGCTAACGCAATGTTCCAGTGCATACACATAGCCGATTTTGATGCGAGAATCTATCGAGCTGCATGTGCTGCAGTAATAATCAATAATTTGAGCAACGCAAAACACTGGAAAGAAGAGATTGTGTATATGTATGTGTCTTTGTGTGTGTGAGATCCAACAAATTGTCTTTGATTCACAGCTGTTAGCACTCATGTGCCATGCACCACCATTTTTACTGTATCAATAATTCAAAGCTTCTCCCAACTATTGACATTAATTTCCCTCTTCTGTCTTTGTGCACCTCTGTGGACTGTGGAGTCCCTGTTGCAGCATCAAAGCTCCTTCCCACATTTCTTTGGGTTTTGGTGATTAAAGACCACAGTGAGAACTAATAAAGCCCCCTGGCCACAGGCCCCAGTGCAGCTCCTCTTCTGTCTCTTACTGAATACCCTTTGTAGATATTTTGCTGAGCGCTTCTATCTAAAACTCTGGTTGCTCTGCTGAACAGGAGAACTTGTTATTAAGGTAACTCCAAAAACAAGAGAGGGGAGGGAGGGCTTTAATCCCCAATTTTTATATCCCAGACGCATTCACCTCCTTTTGTCCTTCAGTGACGCATGTGTGGCCCAAGCTCTTATAATACTCAGTTTGTGGCTGCTAATACTTTTCTAGGTTATTTTGTAAGTGGGTAAGTTATTCTTTGCTTGCCTGTCAGCTCTTCCTTTAGCCCCTTTCAACACGATAGCATCAATTCAATTCATTTTTATTTTATTTAGATAGGGCCAAATCACAACAACAGTCCACTAAATGTGCTTTATACTGTAAGGTAAAGACCCTACAATAACAAAGTAGTACAATAACAACGAACAAGTACTTGGTGACAGTGGGAAGGAAAAACTCCCTTCAAACAGGAAGAAACATCTGGCAAATCCAGGCTCGGGGAGGGGCAGCCATCTGCTGCGACCAGTTGGGCGTGAAGGGTTGGAGATTGATTATCAATATTAGTTCTTGTGATCATTGCTCGCTGCTGTTTACTGTCAGTTCATCAATAAATTAGTTTAATGCAGCACTGATGTCACACTGTACAACTTTTGACCAGGTCTACAGGGCAGGTTGGGTAGAACGCTAACAATGCATTCATTAATAAAAAGCAGTTGACACAGGTAGTTTACTGTAACAATGGCCGTCTATCAAGACCAGCGAAAATTTGCAGGTCTAAAACAAATGTAGCGAATGCAGTTGGCAAGGGAGTAAAATATTTTGCTTTGAAATACCTTTGTACAATTTCCTATTAGGATTAGAATTTGAAATGAGAGTACAACTCTCATGCAAAAGATGTACTGTGCAGCTTTCTGTTGGTCAGCACCATCAACCCACAAGTTAATGAAAACTTCCACACTTTGCACTGAATTACTTTTCCCTATGCAGCAGTTTTAATACCGTATAGATTATTGCAGTATGTTAAGCCAGTACTGACTGTAAAAAAAATTGCACTAATAAATGAACTCTTTTTTAAGCCTGCAGACTACCTGTGTCCTTCTGCTCTGGCATTTTTTTGTCTGGCTGACTCGTCTGATGAGGAATGTCAGACATGACTGCCTCCTGAACCCACTCATCTGTGGCCCTGACCCTATCAACCATGACACAGCCAGCTCAAACAAATTCCCTCCTTTATATCAGGTTTATTTGGCTGTTACAATGAGCAATGGGGGAGGTGGGGGGTTTGTTGGTTGCTTTTTTGTTTGCCAACTGTTTCCACCGTCCTACGAATTGTTCCGCTGGCTGCTTTCGCAGAGCTGGATGAGCTTTCAAAGATTTGCCAGCAAGAGGTTGCATGGAGGGTTCACATTTCCACATTTCTGCCTTGCTGGATTAAGCCAATTGGGTCTGATAATGTACGTCCAGCGAACACTGACCTGTTTCTCAACTCTGTCCTAAACAACACAATCTGCCAGGAAACAGGAACGTATAAGGGGGGGATCCTGCATAGCATCACCAAACACAAATATATGTATTTGTAGTCTTATGAATCCTTTTTAAATATGACTTTGTTTGAATTTGACTCCTTCAAAGACAATAATCACAAAATCATCAGCCAGGGTTGGATATACACACACACACACACACACACACACACAAACACACACTTTGTGAACAGTGAAATGTGTGCAGTGTTCAACAGGACACGCAGTTGTACAAAATAACGTTTTTCTGGAATCGCAGACTCGATCACTTGGAGTTCCTGCGAGAACAGTGTGCACGGGGAAACCAATCACGTCTATCAAGGTAACTTATTATGACTCACAGTCTTACTGTGCCTGAACTTTGTTGTTACAGAAAAGATTCATCGCAGCCCCATTTTTGTTTTCTCTCACATATTTACTTTGAAGGTCTTTCTCCTTAGACTGACAGAGAAAAGGATAAGAGGAGGGGGAAAAGTGTAGAAGAGGAAAGGATGAAAAGAAATAGATTAAGAGAGAAAGGCTATGTAAATTTATATGTATATATATATATATTTATATATAAAAAGCATAATATCAGTTATCGCTACAAAGGGCCATGGTCTGGAGTTTCACAGTCTTTCATGTACAACAGGCGCGGTAACAGTACCGACTCTTGGTCTCTCTGCTGTGATGACACCTGCCGCTCGGCACTGTGGGAACACAAGGAAAGCAGAGTCCACCCTGTAATGTGTTCGCGACATGCGTGCGCACGTGTGTGTGTGTGTGCGTGTGTTAAGTGTGTAGGTGACACATTTTAATGCTCTGATGACTTATTAAATCCTGTTCCATGCCTTCAATCTGGCCTCGGGTTACAGTCACGTGATCGTGAAGGCAGCAGGGGGCTCCACAGCATGAGGGGAAAAATATTCCCTCAGAGCCCCTTATCTATGCGCTCAGCTGGCCTAGGTGTTTCTTCTCGTGTCCGACTTAGAACCTGCAGTATTACTGCAGTATTAGGTTCTCCTTTTACACCTCCATCCATAACGTGCCCAAACTGCTTGCAGTGCAGCTGATGCCGGCAAAAAACTGTCTCAGGTATACGCTGATATTCATATCCTTTACTCTCACAAGATTGTCACGTGGCCCTCTCCCTCTCAGGTTTTCCTACTTTAAACACCCCCCCGGCTTTTTTCTTCCTTGTTCTCTATCCAAAAATGCCCTCACAATCTGTCTTTGTTAGTGGGATGCTGTCTGCTGTCAACTGTGTTTACGCTTCTGCCAAATGCTTCTCATTTTTAGTGCAGTCTGATCACTTAAAAAGCATCTTAATTCGCTGAATTAATAGAGGTGGATGAAGCACTTTAGAAGACAAGATTTACATGATAACAGTGGCTGCTGCTGCTAATATATCTTATATGAAAAAAACAAGCAAATAGGCTTTGAGAATCCCTTAGAAGATTTGGCCTATTTGCCAGATTTAAGGGGATTTATTTTTATGTTTGAGTCATGTAACCCAGATAGATTCTTACAGCTGGTTGTGCCGGGTTTCTTTTTTTCAGCTGGAGCTTGAGTACAGTTAGTGATCTGATCGAGACTAGCTTCTCGTGGCAGTGCCTCGCGGGCGACAGCAAGGTGTTTGTTCTTTGCGCTCTTTTTGTGGCAGTTTTAGGACTTTTTAAATCCCAGAGCTCTGTAAACTCTAACACGATGAGAGGTCAGAACTCTTACATTTGGTCCACTTTGTAAAAATGTCTGGGCATGTCTCATCTTTGCACACTCAGAAAAAAGGAACACACACACAAAGTCTAAATTAAATTAGTCATTTTGTCTGCTTCCAGCGTGATCATCCTCACCACGGCTACATTAGAACACGGTTGGGTTTTTGGTTTTTTTTTTGCACTATTTATTAATTCTTTTAGAGGAATAGTTCAACAGTTTGTTGCCTGGCAACCTAGTGTGAAGTCTGACATATACCCCCCCACTTAAAACCACAGGATGTCCTTTTTACTCTTAGGTTTCTTTTTTTCCAGAATAAATAAAGTAGATGTAACATCTTAATTAGTGATGTTTTGAGGTCCCTGAAGGCAATTTCATTATTGTTCGATTGCACAGAACTGGGCTAATGGTTCCCCCTCCTGTTTCTAACATTCATTCCATATATTTATTTATTTTTTAGGCTAGGTTAATTATCTGCTGCCTCTAGCATTAAATTTAACACAGAGACATGTAGAGGTGGCATCAGTCTTCTCATATACCACATAGCATGTTGTCTAAAATGTTTTTTAAATGTGCAATTTAATGTTTTTTGAAAACTTAAAGATGTTTCCTGTGTGTGCATGGATTACATTGGTCTTTTTGATGTAGCTGCCATTACTAAAAGTCAAAAGTGTCACGTAAAAGAGCATTTTCAAACCTATTTAATTTTGATGCCAGTTAAATTCACTGGCATCAATAATTAAAAACCCAACTGTGTGGTAACTCTGCGTGTCCGTGTATTTCTGAATGTGTGCATTTTCATCATGCAGATGCTTCGTCCCGGCCTCCCTGTCCCTCCCCTGGGTCAGCTGTCATCACGCAGACGAGATCAGAACAAAATAAAACCAGTGCCACAGCATCCGCTCTCTGTGCTGGAGTTTCTTGTGGAAAAGGGAGACCTTCAGCCGCACAGCTCAAGGAGGTGCGTGTGAAAAGCCACAGTACAAAGCCTTCATGTCTGCAGTCCAAAGCCCAGGGCCCTCATCGTGTGTGTCTGCTGGAAAGCCCTCGGGAGATTTGGGTGTGAATCACGAGGAAGTGTTTTTTCTTCCAAACCCTTCAGTATTTGCTGGACAGGTGAGCACACCTCTTGTCAAGAGGTTTATGGGTAATTGCTGTATTTCTCATTACCCGTGATGCTTCAGTGCCTACAGCTGATCCCTTATATTGCTTCTCAGGTTTGGTTTGTTAAACCAATCCATTTTTTTTATCAGCAGTTTCCCATCTGAGAGCAGTCGCACTGTAATTCTCCAATATCGGTATCATTATGGAGTAGATATTGGCTGTGAGACAACATTCTAATATCACCACAAGTGTAAAGACATCCCTGCTCTGTAGGCTCTTTGTTAGTATGGTTACAGATGCCACCTACTCGGGGGCCGTCCTTTTGACAGCAAAGGTCTTTTAGAGAGATTTCGTCGTGAACTTTGTTTGTGAAACAAGGACCACTCGGACACAGTAAACCAACGACCCTCGACTTCTACACACAAACACACGTGAAGATCTGCACGTTTGAACATCTCAAGAGCTGGTACTGTATCTCCACTCAGAGATTACTCGTGTCACCACTCCACATGCATCCTGTTCCTCTCTTTTTATTTCTTCTTGTCTTTCTCTCTCACACTGTCACCTCTGTCTTGCTGTTGGTCACAAAGTAGGGCTGTGTGGGGAGGAAGTGTTGGCTGTGGCTGTGGCCTCTAGTGCTGTGGAGCTGGTTCGGTTCCAGGATGGTACACTGAGGCCTCTTGTGCCCGTAGGTCTTCCTCCGGCCCACCGTCTCAGTCCCGTCCCAGCCCTTCAGCCCCAGCCCCATCGCATGTGAGGACGCAATTGTATTGGAACTGTACGCCAGTGGGCGGCCCATTGTAGCTGAGCCGTGGCCAATGACAGTCTCAGCAGCCCTGGAGATGCCCAGGGATGTGCCACCTGGCATGGTCCCCGCCATGTGTGCCAGGGAGGTAGCCCCAAGTCCTGGTGGCTTGCTACTGTGGCTGTGAAGATGAGTGTGAGAGCTGTGAGAGCTGTGAGAGCTGTGGGCAGTGTGACCATGGCTGACTTTGGGTTTCTGGCCGTTTGGCTTGTGTCCCCCTCCTCCTCCAGCGGCTATGTGCCGTTCTGTCGGCAGGGTTGAGACAGAGGAGATGCTGGGCATCTCGGTGACGTAAGTGGCCACTGGCTCTGGAGTCAGTGGACCCAAAGAAGTCATAGGAGTCATGGAGGTCATAGGGGTGAGGGAAGTCATAGGAGTCATAGAAGTCATTGGGGTGAGCGAGGTCATGGGTGTCATTGAAGTCATTGGGGTCATGACGTGGTTAATAGGGTTGGCGCTCATAGGGTTTGAAGCCATGGGGTTGGTGGTCATCTGAGGAGTCACTGATGACATGTTGCCCATGGACGCCATGGATGGTCGGGAGTTGCCCATGGGCTGCAGAGGAAGTCCTTTTGCTGGCATCTCTACCATCAGGCGACGCTTGTTGTACAGTTCGCCGTTGTACTTGGCAGCTAAAGGAGAAGAAGAGAAAGAGTAAGAGAAGCAATGAAACACTAAGTGGGCACAAAAAATTGCTACAGAGCAGAGCTTAAATCTTGAATTAAACGATATATACTTTCTTAAATTTGGCCATTTGCCACCATGGAAGATTTTTTTTTATTGAATGAATCAAAAAATAACACTTTCAGCAGTTTGCTGATCAGCCATAAGATAACACATCACTATGAGCACACACAGACAGAAAGCAGAAATATAGATATTGCATCAGTTTTAACACCCACAGTATAAGAAGGTCATATAACAAACCCCTATACTTTGTTAGTCAGCCTCACCTAACTGACCAAGCAGAGTGTCAGGACCACTGCTAACGCCTGCAAGTTAGAGGCCCGTGCTGCTACTGGAGGAGTGAAATCAAAAGAAAAGCCTAGAATCTCTCCTCCAGCTCGCCTCTTCCTCCCTTTTAAAGCCAAGAAAACATCCAATTTTTGCATGGTGGGAAGGAGTTCAACATGAGAAAGAAGGAAGAAATTTTGGGAGAAAGTTGTGAGGCTAATAACTAGGCATGACATGGGTGATTTTTTTCTAACTCGGTGCAAGTTTATTACAGTTATGTCATAAGATTAAGGAAAGATTTCAATCAGACCTCAGTGCACGCTCAACTAGTGGATTTTTGAGAATGCCTTCCAAGTTGTAGACATTTATTTTTGCATTCAGTATTTTTAAACCAGTCAAAAATGTTTTGAAAAGTATTTGGTTATCTGCCTTTACACGTGTGTACACACATATGAACTTGAGAGACATCCATTCTTAATCCATCCATAGTTTTCAGTCATGTGACCGACTAACTAACCAGGCCAGCAAAACATTACAGCATCATGATGGACAATAGTAGATAGTCCCTGGTACTGCAAGACAAACGTGTACTACAAGACTAGTTGGATCATCTATCCATGGAGGAAAAACAAAGATATGAAGAGAAACTATGAATGTTGGTGACTTGTGATCCGTATTTTGCTCCGACAGCTTAATTTAAATCCCTAAAAATGGCGATGTCTCGCCAAAGCTCCAGTTCAGTGACATCTATGTATCTTGTAGAAAATTGCTCACCTTCCACTGCTGCCAAGATGAAAACGTTTAAAGTATGGACAGCTACATGTATTTTTGATCTTGATGGGTAAACAATCTTATTGTGTGGGAGGTAACGAACACGAAATTATTCATCATTAAAGCAAAGGTAAGTGCTACAAAGCTAGCTTAAACGAACTACCAGATGCAAATTTTATATTTTAAAGTATAAATTTTTCACATTAATGTCGTAACATAACATAACAGTAAAGTTGACAGAGTGTTTTCCAAATTCAGGCAAAACATCATCACAGTGCAGTCAGAGAGGTGCAGTTCTCCTGGCAACCAATCGGTTTGCCAGACGCAGAAGTATTATTTCTCCCTCCAGAGAACAATTCTTCTATACTTTGTATAGAAGAATTGTTGAATTGTTTGTCAAAAGTATGAACAAAAAGTCAACCAAAACATAGAATGTGTCTGTTTCCTGACTTACAGACTCCTCTATCTGTTGCATCTTCTATATCTGTGTGTGTGTATCCGTGTGTGTTTCTTCAGCCTTGGAGCAGTCAGCGTTAATGGCTCACATTTATTCCTCTCTCTGTCAGTCAGTGTCACCAAGCTACAGTCTCTCTTATCACTGGCGAAATGTGACCCTTTTTTTTTGTCAGATTCACTTTCACAGTTGAGTCATTACTCTTCAGTCCCTTGTTGCCGCTACGTCCTTGAAGATAAAGTTAACACACTCAGTGAGTTTGCTTTGCCGCTGTAACTATAAATCTAGTTTATCGCTGTGCGAACGCTGAAGAGAAATAACTAACGTGGGCCTGCGAGTGGATAGCAAGCGCAGGCGTGGGGGTTTGTAGGTAAGGGTGGGAGTGGTGGGAGACCACAGCCTCACTAGCTGAGTCGCTGTGAGACTGCCGCTGGGGATCAAACTTGCTCAGGTGACAGGTGAATCAATCCGGCAGTAGTCAGCTCGATGGTACACGCATCCAGCCGTGTACGTGAGTGGAAACGGAAAAATGCCACTGCTACGCAGCGTGGGCTCAGCATGCCTCTGCATGAGAAAAGCAGTGTCCTGCAGAGACTCGCACACATTATACATCAGGGGGAAAAACCGAGAACTGCTTCGTGAAGTCCCACAGTGCCAGTAACATAAAAACCTTATTAGGTTTAGACCAGTATATCAATCTGCTTTTTGTTAGGCAATTAGGTCGTCTACTGCCAATTTAGTGGGGGGATTATTAGTTCTTGAAGTCTCTAAAACGTTTTCAAATTTCCAATGGTTTACCCAAATTTGAAGACCTTTTTTTAGTATTCACTATAAGTGGGTGGATCCTGCTGTCACAGTGCTGCCATCCTAAACAAAAAACATCCATTAGTCTGGGTTTAAATGGAGTTTTCTGTCTGTGAGGTTTATTTTTTTCCCACTCCAGAAACTCTTTGTAACTGTGCAATGGTGTTAGACTGCTTTCTCCTTCACAATAACACCGTGTTCCATGCATCACTGAGACGCAATCAACACCTGTGCTTTCTATTAGCTACTATCTCTGCCGCGGAAAAACAGTACTATCTCTCAAAGTGACTAAGGGTTGGTAATTGTAGTGCATGACTAAAGCTGGCGATGCAAATTACGTGTGCCTCATTATAAAATCCGAGAGATTATGAAATCTGAAATACCTCAGCAGCTAATGGATGGATTTCAATCAAATTTTGATCATGATTTATTCATGGTATCCAAAAGAAGCCAAATGAGTTTTTCCTTAGTGATGCTAGGCGGTTGACATTTTAATATCTTGAGTACTCGAGTAAAACTGAATATCTACTGTGGTCATTTCATTTGTTATATGAAAACATAATTGTATGATTATTATTAGGTTCTTATTAAATGTATTCTACATCACAGTATATTAAAGCCGGCATCTTAGCATATAACTGGCACTTGCAACATGGATGTGTCTCAAGTGTCCTCATTAAAATGAATGTGCATGTGGAGTGCGGCTGCAACAATCAGCTAAAAAAATACAAGAAAAAACAAAGGAGGGTATAATCTGCTTCAAAATCAGCGCTTAACATAGCTGCGCGTTTGCATGGACAAAAAGGCAAAAGAAAGAAAGACACACAAGACAAATAACTAAATGTTAATGCTTTTAGATGTTCTGTTGATTTCTGTCCACTTATGTGCAAGTCTAAAGAAAATGATAATAATAAAACTAGCCCTAATTACCTAGGATTTACTGTGCTTACTGCATTTGGAAAATTGACTTATTAGCCAGCATGTAAGAACAAGAGAATCTTCTTGGATGTAGGACAGTCATTAACTACAGCAGAGCATTTGTACAATAGAAGTGGGCCATAATTGGTCATTTGTACTCAGGCTGAGTTGCAGGCCTGCATCCAGGGATCGTTCTTGGTTGCTTTTTGCCTTGTTTGCTGTTAGAACTCAATAAAGTGACCTTATAGAGATGCACAGAGGGACAGTGGAGATGGCTATTGATTGACAGGTGAGGGCCTTCTCAACTGGATCATCGGCCATTAAAATGGCAGAAGCAATTAAAGAACAAGAGGAAAGGCTGTTATGGGGGATGCTGGGAAAGTAGTGCTTAAGACCTAGTTCCATTTCCAGTTAGTGAGCACACCAGAGCATGTATCAGAGGAGAATTATTTAGCTATTCAGATTTCTTTTGCTGACATTTATTTCCGATCTCTAGCTTGGATGCAACTACTAGTTTGTGGACTACTCACCATCTTGGTGTTTGAAGGGGTCAGATTTAGATTAGATTGATTAACCTGTATTTTAATATCAAGGTTATGCTGACTGATTTACTTTTAGGGCCAGCTGTGTGTCCACTTTAGCAAAAACAGTGTTTGTCATTTCTGCCGTTTTGCGTTTCAGCCTTCGAGATTGCCACTTGCACATTTTCTTTTTGTCTCTGTTATTCCCCCTCACATGCATTTTTCATAGCTTGTGTGTCAATTTCCCATCACTGAACTCAAGGTAATGGCATTTTGCCTCCTGGAATCCTGGGTGCCTGTGTGTACAGGTTTCCAATCATTTCATAGGTGAATCTTTGAATACCACTTGGAAAATGGAAAACTGTCAGTCAACCATGAGCCTGAAGGGAAGAGACCTCCGTTCAATTATAGAAATGGAATCAAATATGAGCCCCTGTAAAGGAGGATCAAGATTAGCAGCCCAATGGTTCTTTAAGGAGCGATATGGAGCTTGATGAATTGAGGGTGGGGTGGAGTCAGGGTGAAGAAGAGATAATGGGAAAGAAAGACAAAAGAAGCAAAAAGCAAAGATGAGATAAAAATGCAGAGGGCAGGAGATGGCTGATAAAGGGACTGATATAAAGAAGAAAACGGAGTTCATGGGAAAATGGGAGCGGTGGGAGGGACGAGTACGACGGCTACAGAAAGGTACTGGAGGAGGGTGTGAGTGAAGAAAAGTAAAGAGGCTTGTAAAAACCCAAATAAAATAAAAGTGCTTATTGTTAATGAACCTCATGAGTAGTTTTGTACATTTTATCACATTAACTTAAATGATGAAACTTTATGTTACCTCCAGACAATTTGAGAGCCATGCTGCACAGCTTTTCATATTGATTTTATGGTCCACAGGCTGTCACTGCTTTCAGACCGTGTCAGTACATTAAAAAAGTCAACTTGCTGAGAGTTAATACTTCCTTAGAAAAACAATTCACCATAGAAATCATAAAATCAATGAAGTTATAGTTGGAAACCTAAACAGGAAAAGTGTGAAGTTTTCTTGTACATGCCAACAATAAAAAAGGATTACATACCCCAACTTTCAAATCAAAAAAAGTTACAGTATAGTAAAGCAGTGTATCATCTCTCAATCACAGGAAAACAACTGCTTCTGTTCCAAGAAAAAAAGAAAAAAAATGATCCCCAACTGCTGGCGGATGTCATTACGACTAACTGTGGGCAGAGTTATTTCCTTTGGCTGAACAGAGCTGGCTGGAAGTTTTGTAAAGCGTGCCAGTGTGTGCTGGTTGGCCAGTCTTGTTTATTAGTGCTGGAGTCGTATTAGCCTTTGGGTGATGACATTTCATTTTGCAAAGCTAATTCTTAAGCTGTCAAATCCAAAATGCACCCAGATCCGTGCTTTCATTAAAGATAAAAAGCCAGAGAATCCTGCTGAGTTCTGCATTGTGTTTCTCATAAAACACAGCATAACTGCCTCCTATCTTCTACAACAAGTTTGACACTGAACGCTGATGTTTGTGTCAACCTTTTCTGTTTGTAGTTAAAGTTCTCTGCCGTGATATACTGGAATGGGATATAGTGAATGTGCTAATGTGGACTGGTTCTTATATAATGCATACGACATTCACACAAATTCATGCAGTGGTTTCTGTCTAGCATTCACATCCCAACTTGGGGTTCAGTATTTTGCGCAAGTATACTTCACCATGCGGACTGGAGCCGATTAGTGGACGACCTGCTCTACCTCCTCAACTACAGCCACCCCATCTCCACCCTGGACAGGTTTCCAAGTCCTTAACAGGACTAAAAAGGCAACTATTCATGGTCATAGTCACCCCGCACTCAGTTCAGAGTAACCAGTCAACCTAATATGTATGTCTTTGGAATTTGGAAGGAAGCATGAGGATTTGGACCCCTGCACAAATAGGGTAAACATGCAACTTCCACACAGAAAACCTGGCTGATGAGAGGTTTAAACCCAGAACCTTTACTGAACATGTAGCACATATAGTTTTAATACTTTTTTAAAAAGACTTTTAAAAAACTTCATCAGGACCTTTCAGTTTGTAAAATGATTTATTTATTAATTTTGACATCTGTAATAGTTTATATGTGACAAGATTTCTGTGTTACCACAAAAAGCTGCAGAAGACAGGAATATTAAGACACTCCGGCCGAAAAGAGCAGGAATAACAACAAGTATCGCATTGATTACATCAGGAACAGCATGAATATGGGGGCTAGGATGAAGGTGGGTTACAAAGCAGCTTGCAGATGTGAAATGGCTGTAGATTTGTAGTTACAGCGGCAAAGCGGCAGAGGATAGACAAAGTAACTTATATTGTGTATCCTCTGTTTAATTCAATTCAGTTTTATTTATATTTTGGCGTTATTTATTTTTAACGTCAAATCAAAACAGCAGTTGCCTGAAGGCGCTTTATATTTTAAGATAGAGACCATGCAAGACCTTTATTAGATTTGCCAATTGGATGTGTATTAAATGAATCATAAATTGATTTGGACTTGCAATAGATTCATAAAATGCTACATTTTTGTAGAAACTCCCCCCATCAGAACCACTTTTGTCTACCAGTTCTGGCAGCTGGGGATTAAACTGGCAAGGCCTCTGCCCCTGATCGATGCCTGATCCACATAGTACTAGACCTCTATAGCCCACCCTGCGGCTAGTGGGGATAGAACTGGGCAGATCCATATGACTCATTTAAGGTGAGCCCAGCACTATAGCGCCATGGACTAATGGCCCCTTTAAAAAAGTAAGCATATATGCTGCACTGACAGCTAGGGTTCGCAAATGGACCACAATTTGTGCACCTGCTCTTGGGCTTTACATAAACTATATGCGCTGGTTGAAGTGGTGACGCTATATTGGTCACACGGTAAATGACTACAGCGAAAGCTTGCTTTGTTCAGCAAACCATTCTTGCACAGTTGGAAACAATGGGTATCAAAGCACAGTGACACCAACAGACACTTGCTATCAGCTCAAAGCAGTCTGGCCTTTCTCCTCTGACTTCTAGCATCAACAAGCCCAGAGAACTGCTGCTCACTGGATATTTTCTCTTTTGCAGACTATTCCCTAAAAATTCAAGTAGATCAGCAGGCTCTGAACGAGTCAGACCAGCCTCTCTTGTAGGAATAATTCTTAATGGAGAAAACAAAAAAAAAATTTACTATTCACAACACAAATGCTTGGGTATTGGTCATCTCTTAATGTTGGACTTACAGGATATAGATGCAGGCTGAATGTCTTTAGGCCGCTTTTTTTTTTTTTTTTTTACATTTATTTTTAACATTTCCAAGGAAACAGTTTGAAAACCAGTTTTTTCAGTTTGTATTCTTATAGCATAAATTTCCATAACACTGCTAGAATTCTTTTGTACCTATTATCCATCAACCTGCCTCATCTGTTTTCCCAACAGATAGAGATTTCGTTCATTTCCCACAATGCCGCGCACAATCCCCAGAGCATGTGTTGCATCCATCTGTTGGGTTTATGTGCAGTAAGACGAAGGAAAAAACTTTTTGAGAAACAGTGGGTTTGTATGCTGCACTCAAACTGCAGCACAGTTTGCGATTGCAGTGCACGGATGTGTTCAGGGGAAATTGGCTTGTCTGATGAATTTTTATTCCTCGTTGAATATTGGCACGAAATTTTGAGTTAAGAAAGAATGGTTGGATTCTCGCAGACTGACACCAAGATGTTTTCTGCTGGCGTTTTAGATAACTGAACAATTTCCTGCAATCAAACACAACTGCGGCTGTGCTGAAAATATCTAGACATCCTCTGATGTCTATATTCGGCCACTTCTCTGGGAATTATAAAAATAGACCATCAAACAATAAAGTTGCCAAGTTCAGGACTCAGGCATGACAGCATTAACCACTATTTTCACTCCTGTGCTTTTATTGGTGTAATCCTTTAAGCTTAAAAATGATGCGTTCATTTACCGCTTGGTATTCATTGCTCATTCAAGTCTTTCTCTGTTGTCAATTTCGCTGGCAGTTACATATACTGCTACCATAATAATGACACGTCTTCTTCTTGCTTCAGGGGCACAAAGTATTACTCAGCACAAACAAGCAGGATAATCTATTACTGTAACATGTCTGGAGATGAGTCAGGGCCACAGTAGTGTAGGGAATACCACTGACAATACAGGATGCATTTGTCATCACAATCAGTTTTACTTTGTGCTGCTGGACATGCTGGACAGATAGGCTTTTCAAAAAAAAGAACAAAACACGATCTATCCGGTCATTTTTCAAATAAAAGCGAGCGAATGCAGACAAATAGCATCCCGTAGCTGTTTATACAGACATCTAGATGCATTTGTAGATTGTATCTGTCGTGAGTGGGCTGAATTCTGAATCTAGTGAAGGCAGAGTACCTGTCTAGCATAAACAAGCTGACAAACGCTCGCTGGAAGCACTTGCGTGTCGGCCTCGAATGAATTCAGATTATGAAATAGCAATGTGACTGCCAAAGAACGTATGGTGATGAGGCAACTTTAGATCAGCTGCTACAGCCGCTGACTCACTGGATTTGGTGGCATGCATGAAAGTGTATCCACTGTGCTGATATTAAACACGGCCAGCATCAGGAGAAGGTCATCTTAAAGTGAGGGGGAAGGAAACTGATTTTAGACAATGGGGAGGCTGCCCGAAGCCCTCTAAAAGGTAAATAAGGATTATTTTGAACTGGGAGCTTAAACTGTGAGGATGTTCCCATCTTGTAGAGTCCAACAAGGAACACGTGGAGTAGAAGATGACTATATTTATTCCTCTTTAAGTCCTAAACTTTTGCACAGCCTATGACATTACTGTACCTGTGTGAGTGGCTCACATCATTGGTGGTGTTGTGCTAAACATGGATTTTTTGGCACAACACCACTAAGGATGTGAGCCACTGTTTTTATGTGATATTTTTGTATAATACGTTTGCTTAAACTGGTAAATCTATAGGCTACATTTCCTCTTGTCCATTGTAATAGCTTTGGAATTCTAAATCCAGGAATTTGCTGAGATTTTTCAGTCCCTACATTGATGCTATGTTTATTATTCCTTATACTAAGGTGCCGATTGTTATTCTGTCACTGATAAATTCAAAAACAGTGGCGAAAAAGTTGCTGGATATGCACAGAAGGCATTAACAACACTGAACAGATCAGTCACAGTAGTTGCGGACTGACCTGAAGTGTAGTTACATTTCTAGGGAGGTGCACGGCATACGATTTCAAAATAAATTTGAGGTTGCGGCGTAGCTATGGTGTAAATTTCCCATTAAATAAATCCCCAGTAAGCAGGAGAAAAATATTTATGTATAAGCTGTTTATGTCTTACACCACATCCAGGTTAGCGATGCAGTGAAAAAACCACTGTCAATTATGTGTGCAGTGTGCTTGCTGTTGTTTAGAGCCTTCCCAGAGTAAAAAAACCACCTGGTGCTATTTGAGTTTGTGTTTCAGGGGCTCAAAAAGCATTCAGTAAACTATACTACAAAAAAAGTCACTTATAGGAGCCTGGGTTTTCCTTTTTCTTGAAATTCACTGCCAACTTGGGATGAATCACGATGACTCCACTAACAAGGCAGGCCCAGCCTTAGGTTTCACTGCTAATCTACACACTGCTATAGTCGTAAGAGTTACCAACAGAACAACATCAGGCTTACTGCCTACCACAAACTGTAAAAATATTCTCCTTCATCTAAACTCCCCTCCACTAAAAAAAAAAAGAAACTTGGCAGTCACTCACCTACAGCCTTCAGAGAGGCGTACTTGTTGAGATCCTTGTTCTGCTGTTGCTGCTGCTGCTGTTGGTGGAGCTGTTGCTGTTGCTGGTGCTGTTCATAGACGTGAGACAGCTGGCCGAGGGCAGGGTAAGGGTGCTGCTGGCCCATGTTTGAAGCCGGTCCCACGTTGTTGTTAATCTGGCCACCCTCTGTGAACAGGGACATGAGACAGCGCAAGGTTACAATAACATTTAAAGCTCCAGTCCAGCACCAGAGGAGCCCTCGCTGGTCAAATGATTGGTGAAACTCTCATTCACATTTTCCAGAATCTACTTACATAACCTAATTTCTTTTTTTAAATTATTATTTTTTAATACATGATTTCTTGGCTGAGATATTTTGTGCCTTGCTCTCAACTAATATACACTCATTTCTATCTTTTGGGATTTTACCAGTAGATTTCCATGACACGCTCTTACATTTATGTCACCATTACAACTGAAATATTCCTCCTGGAATAAAAAATGTCTTTATTAGTCCAGAGATTTTCTTTGCACATCTGATGAATTAGTCTAAATCTGCCAGTTGGACTGTGCTACTTCTCTCAGAGGTCCTTTATGTAGCCTCACTCATCATGATTCAGAACTGTCTGTCTCAGAACTGCTTTAATATTGCAATGTCTTGAACAAGGGTGTCATATATGAGGCTCGGGGCCCAGAATGGGCCCAGCACAGGTTCAAGTCTGGCCCCCTGGAGAGATTTGGAAAATGTGAATGAGGGTCTAAGTTTGGGCTTTAAAATGCATTTTAATACATTTCGCAGCTTTGCCTGATAAAGACCTCCCCCATCGCCATTCATGCTAGCTCAAAGAAGTCTGCAATAGATAAACAATGGATGACAGAAAAGTTGCTGTTTTTCCCTATCTGCTACATGAATGTCTCCTTTTTACAACGGGTCCACAAGATTAAAAAGGAACAAAAAAAAGGAGAGTGTTTGTGAATTTATCAAAATGTTCTGTTTTATAACAACAAGACAGTCTGGCCAATGAGCTACCAGAACTTTCTCTGTAAGTTTACACATATATTTCTTACAGCTTAAGCCCAAAAAGTTGTGAAGTCACATTTCTTTCATTTACTACAGCACCATTTCCTGATTTTGACTATAGGCTTGAAAGACTGTTGGACTATAGGATTGAAAGTTTTTCAGTGAGTGCAAAGTTACTTAAAGGAAATATATCAAGCATTTATTGGTACCTTTAGACTTTTTTTTTTATCATAAAAAGAGCTTTTTCTGTTTTCATATCATTTGACTGTATTTCAAATGCCAACCCTCCAGAATCATTTGATCACATGTACTCCAGCATATTCTCTAAATCAGCAGAGATTTACCAACTGGTGCTCACCAGGTGGTTGCTAACCAGTCTCTACGCCTTCGTGACTGCAGCCTGAGTCACATCAATAAGACATTCTTTTCTTTTTAGATTTCTGAGTGATTTTATTACATGTAAATGAGCTGAAATCACAGCACAACTGTTGTCCTTCGAAAGCAACAGGCATCAGTTCTAATGGGATGCTTTTGCAGCCAACAGAACAGCATTTTTTGTTCTTTGTTTATAACACAGACATTTTAGAGTTATAGTTAGCAGAAGTGGGTCTAGCTAAGGAATATCGACTGTGGAGCCGCATCTGGATTTGCTCAGTGTTAGTTAGAGTGTGCTAAACTAAGCATTAGGTGGGTTTTATATCAGTTTGCTAGACTGCGTCATAGATGGACTGGACAAGTAACAAACTTTGACATGGGGCTATTAGACTCAGCTCACTTTGCTATTTCATTACGAAAGAAAACAAAGGAAAACAAAGGTGGGCAGATTAATGCTACCATGTTTATAGTGGTAAACATGGTAGCAAACTTGGAAAACCCTTTAAAACTACATAATGAACAGTTATATGTATTAACAATAAACCCACAGTAAGTGCATAGTATATTTGTTCTTCTCAAGTTTTAAGTGAGCCTCACGAGCTAATGATGACCTACTTTACTTCCTGAGAGACATATTTTATATAAAGGCCAGACGACATCCCAAGGTCTGACATGCACATGCTCCAAAATCAGTGCCCTCCTCAGTCAAGCTAGTACAATTATTACCAGAATATTTAACATGGGCACGGCTGTTCCTATTTTCAATACAAAATTAATTAGACTTAATTTTACTTATAGTTATCAAATCACTTCAGTTGTATCCAGCTGAGGTAGCTCAGTCACTTTTTTGGACCAGCCTGGACCTCTGGGGCCCGTCCATAATGCAGAGGGTGAATACAGATAAGTAATGGAAGAAAAATTCAGTAAATTTCCTAAAACATGGGAAGAAACTTTTAAAGTACAATAAGAGGATTTCAAAGAGGTTCATGAAAGAACAAATTCTCAGTTAAAGTCAGTTTAAAAAACAAATATAAAGAGATTATTTTAACAAATACAGGGATTAAGAGGAGTGTTAATCACACGGTTTATAGCTTGATGTAAAAATGTCGTTTTGTTGTTTTGGTTTATTTATATTGTTTTTTTGTGTGCATTATATGTGTGTCTATAGTTATACATGTATATTATCTGATTGTATATCAACGAACATTGATTGTAAATGACTGAATAGTCTTAAGGGGCATAGAATCAAATAAGCAAACGTCATCCTACTGTTTTCCAGCATGTAAACTGTGTTGAATACAGAGAAAGTCATTGTATGTCGATGTTTTTAAGGCTTTCTTATGTTTAGTCATTCGCTCAATTGCATATTATTATTTTAAGTGTTTCAAATTTCAACCATTTATCCATTATTTTCAGCCAACTACATATCCCTTATATTTAGTCGGCCAAATTAAACATTTATCCATTACCTTTAATTAGCTTCAATTTAACAATTTGTCCGGTTACTTTCAGTTAAGTATGACTCACTAATCTCTTCAGAAATCCTGGGGCAACTTTTAGCACTTCATCTCGCTATTGCTATATTGCACAGAAGCATGTGACTGCATTTCCCTTATTTATTTATTTATTGCTTAATGCTTATGGTGTAGGAAGTAGCAGATGTCTTATATTAATTACAGTATTGCAGAATTGGCTAACTGTAATGTCTTCCTCTAATTAAATAAGTGATAATTAGATTTCAGAAGATGTGCAGTGGGTTGAGAAATGGGCAACTGCTCTACCAGAGCTGCACAGTCTGACTTTAAACTGCAGCCGAATGTTAAAACACAATGTGGGAATTGTTCTCTCGCTGCACTGAGCCTGACAGATAATTGCAAACTCCTGTTACTGAAGTCAAAGGTATACTTACTAAGTGAATACATTCTCTTAAAAGCCCCAATGCTGTCACTTGATAATTTGAGAAGGAAAGTAAACGTTACGAGACAAGAGAGCAAGAGTGAAGAATTAGAGTGGAAAAAGTGAAATGCGGAAAATGGAGAGGATACGTGAGGAGAAAAGAGAGAAAACGTCTCAAACGATGCTGACAGAGATATGAGGATGGTTTGTAAATATCGAAAGAAGCTAGACAAAAAAAGGTAATCATTAAGGTAAAAAATACAGGGCAAACAGACAAGGAAAACATGGATATTGTCATGGTCCTGGGCCATATTGGCCCAGTATTCTTAGTTTTCGTGTGTTTTGTGTTTATGCCTTGGTTCCTAGGTTGTTCTGTTAAGATGTTCCTTATTTGATTACCCCCTGTGTGCCCCTCTATGTATCTGTGAGCCCTCGTTTCCCCTCCTTGTGTTTTATTCCATGTTTTCCCCAGGCCGTTATGTCCGTGCTCTCCCCGTGCTCTCTCTCCTCCTGTCTGAACCTCTGTGTACTTCCTGTTTTACTTTGACAGTCTCTCGTCAGTAAGCGTCTTACTCCTGCCGTGTCTCGTTACGATTATCTGTGTCAGCTGTGTTCCCCGTGTGTTCCCACTTCCCTCGTTAACCCTCTGTGTATTTATGTCCGCGTCTCCCGCAGTTCAGTGTCGTGTTCTCCCTCATGACTGTGCGCCCCTCCGTGTGTTTCCTCGTGAGTCAGGTCCTTTGGAACTTCCCAGTTTAGTTTCATATTATTTTGTATCGCCTTTATCTTCTGTCAGCAATAAAGCTGTATTTTGTGTTCAGTCCTGTTTTCCCGTGAGTTTGCGTTTCGGTCCTCATCCTGCCTGCACACAGCCTAATCATGACAGATATTCCCAGTCCCCCTCTCGCTTTTCTTTTAGCACCTCTTAAAGGTGTTCATACAGATGGCAAACTGAGGTGGGGAAACTGTGAAGCCTCAGCCCGACAACATCGATTTCCTCGAGTCATTTTCTCCCTGTTTCATCTCATCGTCGAGGTTTCGAGTCACAGGGTGAGCTCAAAGTCCTTAAAATCTGCACAGCTCAATTGTCAAAGCGAAGCAAGTTCTCTTCTTACTAATTAAACACTTAAGCCCTGGCGCAGGCTCAAACCGCACGCACTCTTAACAGACACTGTGACTGACAAGGTACGGCGAGAGTGGAGACAATTAAAAAGAGCATCAAAGTGAGAGCCAGTGTGAGGCGTTGTAGAAAAGACTGAGACACGAGATTCCTTGATGTGATGAAATGTCCCACGGTGTTGTGTGAAATGAAACATGGACCCACATCCTAGTTTGGATAGATAACAGCGGCCTGGAAAATGCAAGGTCGAGTCATTTTCTGAGAAATTTATTGGACTTGCCAAATACACAGATGACGATGATGCGCTTGTCGGTTAAATACTTTGGGATTTACTGTAACGGTTTGGCAATGCGGGTTCACTTAAGGCGAGATGACTTTCACTGCAAAAAGTGAGGCTGTGTTGGGCGGGAGGGGTAAACTGTGAGGAAGAGAAGGAGAGAGACAACCATGACTAAGGAAGAAACAGCAGCGAAGAACTGAGTTATGATCCCGAAGCGCTCGCTCTCTCTCTCTCAAGATAAAAGCTGGTAGGCTGTTTTATTTTTCATGTGAGGCCAAAATGGCTGGGGTCAACAATTTTCTCATTTCATAATGGATTTTGTCTAGCTGAGGAGCACATTTGTAAAATTCAATACCCCATCAAAGCACAGGTGCACCTACCCTCTGCCATGAGCTCATTCAGCTCCATGAAACAGTCATGCCCTTCTAAAATTGTGATTGTATGTAAACGCTTTGGTTTACTCAAATTTAATTTTTATTTATATATGCTGCCAT